AGGAATCTTTCTAGCTTTTTTAATCTGAGTTTCTCATGCTGCAGAACTCAAGTTACTCACCACATGCAGAGCTCCCCACCCCTGGAGAACTAGGTCCACTGCTCAGATCCAGCAGGTTCCAGCATCGCTCTCAAAATAAAACAATTTACATTTCATAAATGGAGAGTTCAAAGGATAAAAAAACCCAACCCCGCAGGGTATGCAGAAGTCAAAAGTTAACGTAGCAAGATACAGCCCAGCTAGTGTGAAAGTTGTTCAAAATATGCAAATTGCAATTTATTGTTCATGCCCACAGGACAGTGACACCGTAAAGGTAATTTTGCTAGCCTTGCAGCAACAGAAGAACTGATGAAACCATTTCAAGTCTGTAGTGCATCTGTGTTTCTTCATGAGCACGCTTACTGGGAGAAGGGCATCATTTTCAGATCACATGCTGCCAAAGCATATGCCCAATTTGGGCTTTGTGCTAGCTCAAAGGAAGCCTTCACCGCTGGGAAAGACGCTGCCTAAAGCAGCTCACAATACTGCAGCTGGCCTTAGGAGGTACAGATGTTACAGCACCCAAAACAAGCTTATTTGAACGAGTAAGTTTAAGTTCAAGCAGCACAAGGAGTTAAGCAGGACGGCAGTCAGTATTTGTCCTCTGCCATCCTCCTAAACAAGTGTTTACATTCTCTTAACTATTGGTACAAGCGCAGCATCTAAAGAAAGTATTTAATATTTCTGCTGAGCCTGTCGTCCCCTTTCCAGAACGGCACTGGGAGCAAAAAATACCGAAAACAGAAACCGAAGTGCAACTGCACTTATTGTCACTGATCAAGGCCATTTTAAGGAAAAAGTGTCTCGAAAAAACAACCCGAAGGGCAGTGTATTTGTTATTAAAAAGGGGCTGAAGCAGCTGCATATTGAACAGTTTATTTTAGGTCTTTTCCAGGCCTGGACAGATGACCTGGTCTCCCTGGAAGAGGGCTAGCAGACTTCCCTGCCATTTAACAACTGGTTTTGCTTGCTTGTTTTTGTTTTCAAAAGAGGATTTCTCTTCTTTAAATAGCTTTTTAAAAGTGTATATAGCAGCAGTATGGTACAAAGATGGGCATTTTTTTTTTTTCACAGTACACACAGGTTAGTATTGCCACTGAAAATATGCCTTAAACAAATGCCTTCAAAAAACAGCATTCGGTCTGTATTACTGATCAACCTGGAGTGTTCATAAACCTTTGCAAATCCAATATCCAGAATTTAAATAATAAAACTGGAAAGTGTTAAATATCATTCCAGAACTGGAATTACAGTAGATCCTACATTCTCCCAATGCTGGTGCTTCGCTGGGCAGGTGCATGCTGCTCTATATACAGAAAAAAACAAAAGCAAACACATTTTGTATTAAATATACATAAATAGCAGGACCACAGACTGGAGAGCCATGCTTGCGTAATACTGAGTCTGTACTGGCAGAGTCCGTATCCTTCGCCGAACACGGGAACGGATGAGTGCTTCCGAGCCTGTCCACGGCATAGCTGGGGTTTATAGCAGGATCCATCCTGCTGCGGGCAGGGACGGCAGCCTGCACCCCAGGGAGGGGGGGGTTCACAGCTTCTTCATTTTGTCTTTGTTTTTCTGGAGTTTAGTGTGCACCACTTTGAGAGTAGTGAGGAAGTTCCCAAGGAAGAGCAGCAGAAACGTGAACGCCAACACAAAAACCTAAGATGGGAGAAAGAGGAGAAAAAAAAGGCGAGAGCTGAGGGTATTGTATTGCTTGGGCCGCATTTAAGCGAGCTGTGATGGTGCTTGGTTGGCAAGTCCAGGGATGTGTTAGCACATGAGGAGAGATCATAGCCAAATATACATCTGCACATCCAGCTGTGTGGGTTAATGGGAAGTATATTTTTATCATCATTTAAGTAGCATTTACTACTTCTTAGTATTACAACATGGATTATACTCAACACGGGTGAACTCTACCAGACAGTAAAATCAAATCGTTAAGTCCAATCTAATGGATTAACATTATGTGACAATGACTTCCACTGAACAGCACTGGCACAGGCACGGGGGACGACACGTTTCCGCGGGAAGCTGCGTTCCTCCTGTTAAGCCAGTGAACAAAGCGAGCACACCACCTACAGCAAGATCTGACCAAAATAAAGACCATCAGATTATCTGCACCACTGCACGCGTGATGTGGTCCAATCTGGATCTACAGGAGCAACTGTATAGCTGGAAAACGGATAGACATGTTTGATGGCTGACAGCAACTATCAAGTGGAAGGATCCCTAAAAGTAGGATAATAAAGTGGATAATATGTTTTTAAAGTGATTCACTGCCATCGGTTTTGTGTCATCATATTTTTGTATGTGTAACCCACGGATCAGCCATAAAGAACCACCAGCAGTTATTGCTATTAAATGCCCATATACACAAACAACATGGAGAGATATTTACCCACATGTATTTTCTTCCTCCTACATCCTCTGCCTTTCAGTTTG